AGTTGTTTGTTCTCTGGGAGGGATGAAATGAGAGGTGCTTGGCTACAAGGGGGGCGGGGGTGCTGGGCCCAGGGGCGGTAATGAGGAAAGGACTGCAGTCGGATGGGAGTTTGGTACTGAGTGGGAGCAAGAGACTTTGCTCTCTGAACAAATGACTCTCGGTTTATTCTCGTTTCTTTGTCTCTAAGACTAGCAGAAGTCCTGGCACCTGCTGTAAAGGCTGTGAACAGATGTGTAAAGTGCTTACATTAGGGTTTGGTGCTTAGACAAAAAAAGAACCAAAAACTGAATGATCAAGGGAACATATGGTGACAAGCGTGGCTCTGCAGACAGACAGCTCTGAGTTATAGTGCTGGCTCTGACACCTCAAGCAATGGGCAGCCTCAGTTTCCCCAGTTCTAAGCTTCTGATGGTCATTCATTCATTGTACTTATTCATTCATTCGACGAATGTTTATTAAACATTTGCTCTACACCTGGCGCTGCTCTTGGCTGAGGGCCGAGGGGTGGGACAGGAAGTCAGAGGTAGTGAGTGACAACTATCCTGGGTCCTCAGGGTCCCCATAGGGATCAGAGAGACTGATGAAGCTATAGAAGTGTTCTGATCAAGTCTGTTTTAATTGACATTAAATTAACCATCTTAAAGTGAACAACTCTGTAGCATTTAGTACGTTCACGATGCTGTGCGACCATCAGCATCTACTTCCAAAACACTTTCATCTCCCCAAAATAAAGCCCTGTGCCCATTAACAGTTGGTCCCCATTCCTCCCTCCCCCAGGTAAATCTGCCTCTACAGATTTACCTATTCTGGACGTTTCACATAAATGAAATCGCACACTATGTGACCTTGTAGTGTTTTTGAGGTTCATACATGTGGGGGCGGGGAGAGAGATAGAGAGAGAGAGAAATGAATTGGGTGCCATAAACCATCTGATGGGGAAAGCAGAGGGAATTGTGAGGGAATTCTCTTAGCACCTGGGACAGCACCCAATACATATCAGGAATTTATTAAGAACATTAGCATCAGCAACGATAAACGCTCATAGCCTACGTGGAGTCTAAAGACAGATTCTAAACATCTTGGGTGTGTTTGGGAGTCAGGTAGGAGGTCCTCAGAGGAAGTTTTCATGCATTGTTCTCTTTATAACAACACTAACAGTCAGCGGTGTTCTGGCACTTATAGCGGGGTTAGGTCCTTGTTGGGAACTACTTCACGCATCCTTCCAAACTCTGACAGGGGCCAGCAAACTATGGCCCCCTGCTTGTTTTTGTAAATAAAGTTTTATTGGGATGCAGCTGTGCTCATTTGTGTGCAAAGTCTGAAGCTGCTTTCCTGCTATAACGGCAGAATAGTTGCAACAGGAATTGTATGGCCCCCAAAGCCGAAATTATTTGCTATCTGGCCCTTTGCAGAAAGCGTTTGCCAACCTCTGCTCTAGAGGTAGATGATATTAGGAGCCCAATTTACGGAAGAGGGGAAAGAGGCTCAGAGAAGGAAAATGCTTTATTGAAGGTTGAGAGAAAACCAGCATTTGAACACAGTACCCATGTTCTTTTTATTATCATCATTATCATTATTATTTTTAAATTTTTCATCATGGTAAAAACACATAACATTGAAAAATGTACAGTTCTGTGGCATCAGGCACATCCACTCTGTTGTGCAGCTGTCCCCGCCACCAATCTCCAGTACTCTTTCTGTCTCTACGAAGTTGACGACTCTAGGCACCTCAGAGAAATGGATCCATACAGCGTCTGTCTTTTTGCCACCATCATATTTCATTCGGCACAATATTTTCATGGTTCACCCATGTAAGTCAGTTCCCTCCTTTTTAAGACTGAACGCTATTCCACTGTCTGTATGTACCACGTTTTGTTTCTCCACCCATCAGGGGACACTTGGGTTGCCACGCCCACACGCTTCACCACGTCTCATGGATGGTACTGCCTGCACAAACAAGAGACCAGTCTCTAAGAATTTTGAGAAAATGCAGATGAACAAAAAGCGAAAAACAAAATCACCCATCTCCCTGTCTGGCAGACACTTCATACGGAATGTCATAGTGTTTTCCTTTTTACTCTAAAAACATGCATATTAGTATATAATCTTTAAAAAAAGGGAGTCAGACTGCTTCCCCCCTCCCCCACTGTACTGGTGCTTAATTAAGAAACTCATGATCTTAAACTTTTGAGCCTGATAAAGGCATAGAAGTCTGTCCAGAAACACACACAGATGAATTAAGTTTTACTGTCAGTGTGAGGGCAAGGACCCTGTGTGTCTTGTCACCCAGTGTCTAGTTCACCCAGTGTCTGGGGTTTGTAGGTGCTCCTACTGACAGACACTGAGGATGATTTTGCTTCTAGTGTGTCATATTTCTTTCCTAATGACTAATTAGTGGCATACAAGGGGAATGCCTGAATCAAAGATATGCACAGATGGTTTTGCCAAGTATTGGAATGGCCTTTTAGGAAGGCTGTACTAATTTACACTCCCACTGGCAATGATGAGGACCTGTTTTACCACATCCTTGCCAACACTGGGTATTAGCATTGTTTTGATCTTTCTAATTTGATAGGTGAAAAATATTATGTTCTTAATAATCATTTATTTGATTGCCAGTAAGGCTGAGTAGTTTCATACATTTGTTGACTTTCTTTGCATATTGCCCATCATACCCTTTGCCTATGCTCCCTTTTGTGTCGGGGGGGGGGTGAGTCTTTTTTTTTCTTATTGATTTATAAGGGCTCTTTACATATTAAGGATACCAATTCTTTGTTATTTTGGTAGGTAAGAGAAGCCAAAAGTTGAGAGAGGGGAAGTCAGTGCTCAAGGTACACATTTAAGAAGAGGTGGATCAGGAATTTGAAACAAGATCTGTCTAGATCAATGTTTACCACAGTCTCATCGTACCTTCTCCTTTCCCAGGTCTTGCCCCTTTCATGATCCAGGAGCCTTGAGATCCCATAATCTCAGAAGAGAGGCCTCTCACCAGACCCAGCCACCCTTACTACATCCCACTAGCAAACCTGTTCTTTAGTTTGTTGTATAGCTGCCTCCTCCTCCCTCAGCCCAGGGGTCCAGGCCCCCAGCCTCTCCACCAACAGACCCAGGTGTCCAGACCCCTAGCCCCTCCTCCTTGAGATCTGGGAGTCCAGGCCCCGAGCCTCTTCCTTCCTCACACTCGAGAGGCCAGACCCCCAGCTTCTCCTCCCTCACACTCAGGAGTCCAGGCTTCCAGCCCTTCCTCCCTCAGCCCCAGGAGTCCAGGCCCCCAGCTCCTTCTCCTTCAGACCCAGCAGTTGGGAACCTAGGATAATAGGTCCTGTTTCTGAGCATCGAAATTCTTAAATCTACAATAGAGTCTGGAAGAAAGTACTACTGGTGCCACCGTCTTAGATGAGGACGCAGGCCGATGTACTTGACACACACGGAGAAGCTCAGTCTGGAGGAGGCAGCTGCGGGATTGGAATCCTGGTTTCATTCCAGATCTGCGAGTGTGATGTCATTCGAACGACGCATATAGGCCTTGCCCCCGGCCCCGCCCCCGAACCCCAGCTCCGCCCCGCCCCGTAAACTACTATTCCCAGGAGGCGCAGCGCTCGCTCCGCATCCCCATAGGTACCCGCTACTCCGGCGCCACCCCTCGCCCCGCCTCTTTCAGGAAGTCACCGGTCCCAGCCGAGCCTGCTCTTCCCCACGTGAAGCTCAGATCGCGCGCTCCTTGGAGGGACCTGGGCGGCGGGTCTGTGGGTGGCCTTGCTTTGGGTCCCGCTCCTGCCCGGAATGAACCGCTACCTTGTGCCGGCGTCCCTGCTGGGCACTGCGGTGGGTGGCGCAGTGCTGTTCAAGTGAGTAGTGCGGGTGATGGCAGGTCTGTCGGCCACCGAGGGAGGGGAGTCGGGTGGAGACCACCAACTCCTCACTTACTCAGGAGCTCCCCAGCTCACCCCACCAGCAGTATCTCCAGAGGGTGTGTGTGTGGGGCAAATCTGGGCCCTGAGACGGCAGGTCATGGCCAAGGTCACCCAGAGGAAGGAGCGGATCTGGGCCTTTGGTCTAGTTGTTTCGGACTTTGGTGAGTTCATTCATTCAGCGTATATTTGTTGACCAGTTCACATGTGTCACTGTGCTGACCTAGGTGCAAGGCAAATGTATGCCACCTAAGCCCTCCTTATCCGAAATTAGCAGCACAAATTGAATTGCCCAAATCAGGAAACATGATACTCCTATTGCATTTAATGTATGCATAGTTCTTGTCTTTCCTAGGCTAATTCACTTAAAAACAAAACAAAACAAAAAACCCCCACAAAACCACAGCTACCAAACATTCTATAGCAGCACCGTTCAGTAGATGAGAGTGTTACCTTTGCTGTGTGCATTACTATAGCAGTGGTACGTGGCTAATGAGCAGTTAAAGCATGACTATATTGTGCCTGCAGTTAACAATATGATATTGTATGGTACACTTAAAAAGTTTTTAAGGGGGTAGGTCACATGTTGTGTTCTTACTACAATTTGAAAAAGAAAGGATTTTCAACATGTAATTTTACACAAGAGAAGAGATTGGCTGGAAGTTAGAAAGTTAACTGGAATTTTGAATTTTTTAAAAGGGCCTGAAATATAGACTAAATCTCTTTGAATAATTAATTACTTTGGGTTTATTTATCTGCTCTATGATAAGGCTTCATTTTGAACTTGTTCCTCCTGGTCTGATAACATCTTTTGCATTTACTTGGTGAGTATCTTGTTATTTATAATTCATTAAACTGCTGCTCTTGTAAATATGAATGAGATTTTTTTGGAAAGCTCTAGAGGATGGAATAAATATATAGAATTATGGTATTAAAATCTATTGGCCATTGTTTTTATTTTTTTTTAGACCTTTGTCTTTCAGTTCTGAAAAAGCTAAAAAATAAAATAAAGTGCCAGCATGAAGAGAATGGAAAATAACTGAATGCCCTGGTGGGGGGGGGGGAGAAGAGATATGGCTATTTTTAATTTAAATTAAAAATTAGCCTCAGGTGGCTGGCGGCTACCATGTCCTTCTCTCTCTCTCCTTTTTTTTTTCAGTGCTCTGCTCTCGTGTGGAGATGGCATTGTTTTTTTTGGTCAGTCTCCTATTGGTGACATTTGGTGGTTTCCAGTTTTTAGTCTCTGGGGGATATGGGTACAGTAGCAGCATCATGACCCCCCCATGGATGTGCACGTTCCAATGCTCAGAATCTATGAATATGTCACCTTACCTGTCAAAGGGAACTTTGCAGATGTTATTGAGTTAAGGACCTTGAGCTGGGGAAATGATTCTGGGTTATCCAGGTGGGCCACTTACATTGCAAGGGTCCTTAAAGGAGGGAGGCAGGAGGGTCAGAGTCAGAGGCTTGAAGACGGAGGATGGGGCCACGAGCCAAGGGATGCAGGGACCTCTAGAAGCTGGAAGAGGCAGGGAAACCATTCTCCCCTCAAGCCCCCAGAAGGAACTCCCTGCAACACCTCCTTTTATCCCAGTGAGACCTGCAGACCTGTGGAGAATACATTTGCCTGGTTTTAACCATTGAGCTTGTGGCAGTTTGTTATAGCAGCCATAGGAAATTAAGACAGTGGTTCTCTATAAAATAACACTGTCACTTCCTGGAGGCTTCCCCACACCAGGCTGTGCTCCGCCCTTCACCTGCAACAGGATGACCACCCCATGAAGTTACGCTAGGTCCTTTCCATCTTTCAATTGGGGGAACATGTGCCCGAGATTGAAGCCATCGGGGTCACCTATGGTGAGTGGACAGACAGATGGAATTGACTGTGCCGTTTCTTACCTTCAGGGACTATGTTGCTGGTGGGGCATGTCCCAGTAAGGCCACCATTCAGGGGAAAACTGTCATTGTGACGGGTGCCAACACGGGCATTGGGAAGCAGACCGCCCTGGAGCTAGCCAGAAGAGGTGAGGCCCTGCCTTCTCTGCCTGAGGCTAGGGGAGTGGCAGGAACCAGACTCATGTTGGCTTAAGCCAAAAAGGCTGGTGTCCCTGGACGAGGTAAGGAGGAGTTCGGGGTCTCGGAGGAGACTGTGGACACTCAGCATTTTTTGGTTTTGGTGTTCCCTGTATTGGCCTTGCTCTTTCCCACTGCAAATGGACTCAGTCGTCCTGGCTGGCTCAGGGCCTGGGTCAGAGGTCAGGTTCAAGACCTGGCTCAAGCTCTTCTACACGTGCTGCTCAGGCATTTTGTAGAACGCCCTTCCATTTGAGTGCCTGACATTTTTGTCAAGGTCGGACTGGGAGTTTGGAGGAATTTCACGGAGGAGAGGTGCCTTCCTCATCACACCAGATCCCCTTAGAAGGGGCAGGACTTCTGCTGAGTCAGGCCTGAGAAGGGGCGGAGTCAAGGTTTTGGGTTTGAGCAGTCAGAAGACCAGGGCTAGTTGCTGGGACAGGTGTGAGGGCTGGGGACAGCAGAAACTTTCTTGGGGCTTGTTGAGTAATGGTGGCCAGAGAAATGGGTCCCTGATGGACTAGCCTGAGCTGCCTGTCCAACCCTGAGGTCCGAGTGGTGGGGAGCCAGGATGGGCTCCTTCCACCACATGAAGTTCTCCCATGGAGCACACCTGCCCCTCTCAGGAAGAGGTGGGAAGGGAAATTGGGCAGACACACCCACTGCTGTCCTGGGGGCTGGGCCCCAGGGAGGATGCATAGATTGGGGAGTCTGATGAGTTCCATTTCAGGGGACAGTGGGATGTGTAGGAGGCGGCTGGGTCCCTTGTGGGTGGCTGGGTCCCTTGTGGGCAGAACCACAGATCCATATGGTCTTCTCAGTCCTCAGTTTCCTGTTTTTACTTTTCTAATTCTTTTTTAAAAAAGTTATTTTTATGGCTGTTGAGATTTAATCCACATGCCACACAATTCACTCATTTAAAGTATACACGTTGAAGGTTTTTAGCATGTTTCCAGAGCTGTGCAATAATCGCCACATTCAATTTTAGAACATTTTCATCATCTTGAAACTAAACCTTGCTTCTCTTAGCCATCCCCCCTCAATTTCTCACCGCTCCCTAGGAAACCATGTCAACTTTCTCTGGATTTGCCTGTTCTGGACATTTCATATAAATGGAATCATGCACTATGTGACCTTTGGTGTCTGGCCTTCCTCACCCAGCATCATGTTCTGTGTCACAGGACCTGTCTCTCAGCTTCATTCCTTTTTCATGGCTGAGTAATATAGACAGACCATATTTTGTTTATCCATTCATCTGTTGATGGACACTTGGGTTGTTTCCACCTTCTGGCTGTTGTGACTGGTGCTGCTGTGTATATGTGTGCACACATTTTTGTGCAGACTTTGGTTTCCATTTGTGTTGGGTACACATACCTAGGAGTGGATTTTTAAAAATAATTTTTTTCTCTCTCGGGCTTCCAGGAGGCAACATCATTCTGGCCTGTCGAGACATGGAGAAGTGTGAGGCAGCAGCAAAGGACATTCGCAGGGAGACACTGAATCACCGTGTCAATGCCCGGCACCTGGACTTGGCCTCGCTGAAGTCCATCCGAGAGTTTGCAGCGAAAATCATTGAAGGTAGGAGGGAGAACGCTGGCCTTGAGGAGTGGGTTAAATCAGGACTGAACCTTGTGGCCCACAACGCCAAAAATTTTTACCGTATGGTCCTTTTCAGAGAAAGTTTCCTACTCTGCAGGAAAACAAACTCTTTCTGCATTAGCTTGGATCCCGCAGGAAGCAAAGGCCAGGATGGGACCTGGAGGAGGAGTTAGCTAGGGGAAGAGGGGCAGAAACAGTGATTCACCCATTGTTTCCTGAAGTTTTCTGGCTCTCTCTTGGGTGACGCCAGAGACACAGATGAGTCGCATTCAGGCTCTGCCTCCAAGGAGCACCGGCTCCCGTGGGGACACAGCTGTGATGATCCATGCACTATTGGAGGACCCACAGGCACAGTGCAGAGTACTGGACCTCCCACGCCCTTTGCTGGTGTTTCTCTTTGCAAATCCAGGGATTATATGCTTTTATGCTCTTCTGTTGCGTTGATTGGTGACTCACGCTTTTCACTTCCCATCTGATGTTCTCAGAACTATTCATGTATTTCTTTTTTCGAAGAGGAATAACCTTTCCAGGATTAAACGTTCAGAAAGTAAAGAAGAGGAGACAGTGAAAGGTCTACCTGCCGCATGGGCCTCTAGCTACCCAGATGCCTTCCTCACACGTGTTCAACATTCCCTTCTGGAGACAGTTTATCCATTTATAAAGCAGGCAGGTGTAGACACCACCCCTTGGCTTTTTTATACAAATCGCAGCCTATGACATGCTCGATGTTCCTGCTTTTTTCTCCCCTGTTCTCTCTTATAGATTGGTGTAGTAGGCATAGCACTCTTATTCCTGGGGCTACATTGTATGGCTGTGACAGGTGATGTTACTGGTTCTCTACCAATGGCTGCTTGGCCCCCAGCCTTTCAGGGGTCTGTGCAGGGTTGCTGTGAGCATTCTCACGTATGCATGCTTTCTCACGCAAGTGAGGGTATCTGCAGATTCTGAGACAGTCTTTTCCTCTCCACCCAGCTTCATGTTCAGAGAAAGCAGGAGAGCTAGCAGGAGACAGAGCTATTGATAAGAAGAGGTGAAGAAATGAACATTTACGGACTTACGGGGTGTTTTTTTTTTTTTTTTTTAACTCCCAATGCAAAGAAATACATGTTCCTTATGTAAAATCTATGAAATCCTTCATAGTATAAAGAGGACAGAACTAAACACCTTTGATTCCACACCAACCCCAAGGGAATCACTGTTAATCATTTTCCTTCCTGCATCATGAAGCTTTCACTTCAAAAACATAGCTACCATTTTTTATTTTAACACTACAAATTGACAATATGCAGGAGGAATTGCGAAAGGAGAAACTGAGTCACAGAAGAACTGTGTGACTTGGCTGGGAACATGCAGCTGGTCAGGGTAGAGCTGGTGGACTCGAACCCCCATCTGATGGGCTCCAGAGCTTGTGTTCCTGGTGGGTATGCTATATTCCCTTATCCCCAAATAAAGGATAAAATATAAGCTCTGTTTATTAGGTGCTAGATGATTAATTCATTAATTCCATTGATCCCAAAAACCACTAGGAGTGTTATGGGTTCTGTTGTATCGTCACCAAAAAAAGATGTGTTGGGGTCCTACCCTTAGGACCCCAGATTGTGACCTTTTTTAGAGGTAGGGTCTCTATAGAAGTAACCAAGTGAAAATGAGGTCACTAGGGTGGGTGCTAATCCAATCTGACTGGTATCCTTATAAGAAGAGACCAGGATGACCATGCAAGGACACAGAGACAAGATGGCCGTCTACAAGCCAAGGAGAGAGGCCTGGCACAGGTTCTCTCACATGGCCTCAGAGGGTACCAGTCCTGTGACACCTTGGATGTCCAGCCTCCAGACCTGGGGGATGACAGACTCCTGTTGCGCAAGCCACCTAGTGCGAGGCCAGAGGTCAGGGTGTTGGCAGGCTGCACTGGGTAGAATCATTTGCTGCTCTTCTAGCTCCCGGTGGTGGCTGTCAACCCTCGTGCTCCTCGGCTTGTAGCTGCACCTCTCTGCTCTCTGCCTCTGTCATTACACCACGGCCTCCCCACATGCATATCTTTGTCCAGGTTTCCCCTTCTTACAGAGATACTAGTTGTGCTGCATAGGGCCCACCCTCGGACCTTGTCTTCACTTGATTACTTCTGCAAAGACTCTATTTCTAGAAAAGATCCCATTCATAGGTTCCGGGTGGATGTGGATATTTGGGGGACACTGTTCAGCCCAGCCTAGGTGCGGAGCTGATGTGTTTGCCCTGACTCGTCTTCCAGAGGAGGAGAGAGTGCATGTCCTGGTCAACAATGCGGCTGTGATGCGGTGCCCCCACTGGACCACTGAGGACGGCTTTGAGATGCAGCTTGGCGTCAACCACCTGGGTGAGGCTGTGGGCTGCGTGGTATGGGTGTCCCCAGTGGGCCAGACACAGGCTCAGGGTGGGGATGCCCTCCTTCACTCTCCAAGGCAGCCAGGTCACATATTGGCTCAGGGATTTGCCTGATCATCTCTAGACACTCAGTCCATCTTTCAGATCATCAGCCTCCTGACCACTTGTCTCTTTGTCCGTCCTCCAGTCTCAGTCTGTCCTTCAGTCACTCTCAGTCTATTTGTTGTCACCCTTGATGCACTTGGGGTTCTGTTAGAAGGACAAAGGGGCAATGAGTCACACTGGCTCAAGGCCCGCCCTAGTGACCTTACTTAAAGACCCATCTCCAAATAAGGCCACATTCTGAGGTCTTGGAAGGTGGGACTTTGACATATTTCTTTGGGGGGCAGGGAGAAGAATGGACATAGTTTAACTCTTAACACACTTGTTACTGTCATTCACACCCTATTGGTGGGGACTCAGTTACATGATCTGTTGTAGCTGCAAGGGAGTCTGGACACATCATCTTTCACTGGGCCATCTTGTGCACAGCCAAAAATCCTATTACTGAAGAAGAAATGGAGAAGAGATTTTGGGAGACAGCAGTCAGTCTCTTCACCAGCTGACCTCATAAAGTTATCACATGGCTTGACATTTGGGGCTGGGTAATTCCTTGTGAGGACTGTCCTTTGTGTTGTAGGGTGTTGAGCATTGTCCCTTGCCTCCATCTACTAGATGGCAGTAGTGTCTCCACTTCTCTTTGTAGTTGTGACAACCAAAATTGTCTCCAGATGGTGTCAGATGTCTCCTGGGGGCATTGCTTCCGATTAGGAACTGTGTTTTACTGGGAGGATAATGTCCTCAGCAAGGGACGTGGTAAGAGTTCAGTAAGAGTTATCTTTTCCTCATCTTTCTTCTAGGTCACTTTCTTCTGACAAACTTACTGCTGGACAAGCTCAAGGCTTCAGCCCCTTCACGGATCATTAACCTCTCATCCTTGGCCCACATTGCTGGACACATAGATTTTGATGACCTAAACTGGGAGAAGAGGAAGTATGACACAAAAGCGGCCTACTGCCAGAGTAAGCTGGCCGTCGTCCTGTTCACCAAGGAGCTGAGCCAGCGGCTGCAAGGTTTGTGTGTGGCCTCCATCTTCCCTTAGCTCTGAGCCTGGCACAGTCCTGCTGTGACCCTGGGTCAATGGGAGATCAAGCACTGGCTCCAGGACAGAGTAGGCAAAAGAGTGACACACACACCACTAGGCTCCCTGCTGGTGCCTGAAGCAGACATCTCTAATCAATCACAGCCTTCCTCCCTGCTCATCTAGGATAGGCATCTGAGCCTTTGGTGCTCTAGGCCAATGGACATTTGTCAATAACTTTGGCTGTCATTTCAGGGAGTGGAAATGGGGTAGATATTGCTACTGACATCTTGTGGACAGAAGCCAGGGTTGCTGCTCAATATCCTACAGTGCACAGCTTAAAAAATGACTAGACCTCTGTGTCCATAGTGCTGAAGTTGACAAGTCTGTCCTTCACTCTTGCTTCTCAAAGTGGACCAGCAGCGTCAGCTCACCTGGGAGCTTGTCATCATTGCAGCATCTCAGACCCTATCCTGACCCAATGCTTCAGACTCTGGGGGTGGGGCCCAGTGGTCTGGGTTTCTCTAGCCCTCCACGTGATTTTTACACATACTCAGGTTGAGAGGCTCTTCTCTGCGCAGCCATGAAACAGCTGCCTTGCAAGATGAAACCACCTGGCATGGAGGTTTCAGAGCAAGAGGGCAGTGTGAGTTCAAGGGTAGGAAATGGGGGAGCCCCAGAGCTCAGGGCAGGCAGCGTCAGGCTTCCTAGTAATGAGGGAACCTGGTGTCTGCCCCCTCCTCCCAATTTTCCCTCCTCTCCCCAGGCACAGGTGTGACCGTCAATGCTCTGCACCCTGGTGTGGCCAGGACAGAGCTGGGCAGACACACAGGCATGCACAGCTCTACCTTCTCCAGCTTCACACTCGGTAAGTCCCCTCCCAGCCTGTTGTCCCTTCGCTGAACCCCACCCTCCCAGCTTGGGGCCCAGGACCCTCCCTCAGTGTATTAGGACTAATAGGGTATGTGTAGACATTTAGGGACATTTATTAGAAGAGGTTGGCTTATGATTTATGGAGGCCGAGAAGTCCCATGACCTGCCTTCGCTTGGCATGCTGGAGGCTGGTAGTGTAGTTCCAGTCCACAATTTAGACCTGAGAACCAGGGATGCTGACTCTGTAAGTCCTATCTAAGTCTGAAGGCCAGCAGTGCTGATGTCTGAGGGTGGGGGGAGGTGGATGTCCCAGCTCAAGCAGTGAGAATGGATTCACCCTTCCTCACCTTTCTGTTCTACTCTGGCCTCAACTGAGTGCCTGCTGCCCACCTGGGTTTCCTTTACTCAGTCCATCGATTCAAATGCTCCTGGTCATACCCTTAGACACTCAGCTCTCTGGTTGTCCTTTAGTCCAGTCAGGTTGACATAAAATTAACATCACCCTCAGAGACTGTCTTGAACTTTGCTCTGCCCCTCCCCTGTGTCTTTCATGGTGCAAAGAATAAGTTGCTTTTCTATTTTGCCAGTCTCAGAGTAGCCCCAGGAAAGAGGCCAGAGCCTGTTTGATGAGAAAACAGTCTCAGAGAGGGCATCAGTGGAGCCAACTCCTGGCTGTGCTCAAGGTAACCTCAGCTTCACCCAGAACTAGCTGTGCCACCTAGGGGAGCGACTTCACCTCTCTGAGCCTGTTTTCTCATGCAAAGTGAGGACCAGAACAGTCACTGAGAGGCTTAGATGGTTAGATGAGACCTCCCTCTAAAGGGCCAGCACAGTGCCTGGCTAAGATTTAAGCCAAATAAACAATTAGAACTTTATAATTAGTATTTATAATCCTGAGAAACATTTAGTGGGTGGGTACTAAGTGTCAAGGATCTTAAGCTGAGGCTGACACTGGAGACAGTCAATAAATACAAGTTATTTTAGAGCATGATGGAGTAGGTTAAGGATGCAGGGCTGACTGAGAGGAGGGAGAGCTTCTGTTTGCCTGGGAAAAGCCAGGGAGGCTTCCTGAGGGAGGCAGCTTTAGGGCTGGTCCCTGCACCTGGAGGGATTCGGCTGGGCAGTGCCAGGGAAGGGAACTCCTGCTGGAGGGAACCACAGGAGCAATGGCCTGGAGGCAGGCTCTGTGGAACTCCAGGCCAACTTCTGGCCTCAGTGGGCCCTGCATCGTGGGGGTGGAGCAGGGCTTTTTGTGCCCTCCTCTCGGAGTGTGTGTGGACTGATTGCAGGGCCCATCTTCTGGCTACTGGTGAAGAGCCCCCAGCTGGCAGCCCAGCCCAGCACCTACCTGGCTGTGGCAGAAGAACTGGAGGGTGTTTCTGGAAAGTACTTCCATGGACTCAAAGAGAAGGCTCCTGCCCCTGAGGCCGAGGATGTGGAGGTAGCCCGGAGGCTTTGGGCTGAAAGTGCCCGCCTGGTGGGCTTGTAGTCTCAGGGGCCTTCTGTGAGGGGACAGCCCCTCCCCAAATAACCTGGGAGCGGGTGTGAAAGCCACTAGGGAAGCGGAGTCGTTAGACCAAGACTAGCTGCCATGCCCTCATCACCCTTTAGGTGGCGACATTGAGATTGTATGAGCCTCAAGATCAAGGAACCTGGTTGTCATGCCCACATCACCCTCTAGGTGGCAGCATTGACCTATTTTTTCTCTTGTGGCCACAGTGGTTCAGACTGCAGGTGGGCACGTGACCCGCGGGCTGGCTGGGGCACTACGTCCTTCTGCCAGCAGGTGAGCTGGGCCCGCCAAGGGAGGAGCCAGATCCCCCTGCTGTGGGCCATGATGGGGAACTGTTGTGGCCATGGACAAGCTGTCTGCCAGACACAGCCAAGTTCATGATTCTAGTCTCTTCTCTGACTGAATCTTGTTTCCTTCAGTTATAGAATGTGCAGGAAAGGTGATTACCTCATGGGTGGCGGGTCACTGCCTGGCTCCGTGAATGACAACTGTGCATTCCTTGTCAGGGAAAGTTCACTGAGGGTCTTACACGAGCCATGGTGTGGGGGATACCCCAAGAACAGGGTGACACAGACCTGGCCTTGTCCCTGAGTCATGCTGAGGACAGCTGCTGCTGCCCTTGACCCAAGATGCCTGGGGTCATGACCTTCCCTTGCCCATAGAGTTTCAAAATTGCCCTTTAATAATGATAATAAAAAATCTAACTGAGTCATAGGTTTTATTTTCTTCCTCCATACCTGTGGCGAAGTGACAATGAGTGGACAAGTCATGTATTTCCTCCGTTTGGGAAGCAGAGATGTCAGTTTAAATATCATCAGGCCAGTGAACCAATCAGATGTTCAGACGTTTAGAAGAGAAAAGGTCCTTCCTTTCCATGTGGCAGATAGCCGTGTGTTAGAAGTGGGGCTGGCACTGAGCTTGGACACAGAATCGAGGCAGGAGGCTCCAAAAGCTGAGTAATAAAGGTAAATATTTTAACATTAAAAAATCTTAATATTTGAGACACTATGGAGGCCAGGGTTGATGCGTCACATCCTATAATACACAGAACAGCACAGAATGACTGGCCCCAGATGCCAGCAGTGTCAGGGAGGGGAGGCGGAATCAAAGGCAGCCAAAACACTTCATACGCAGTTTTCTTTCTGTTTCCGCATCAGGCCAAAGTAGCCAAAGGCTGTGTCTGGGATGACCTGACACCGGTAGGCAGCTTCCGACATGAACCCTGATGGTCCCCGCCTCCCCATGTTCCAGATAATCCAGGTTCCTTTCCCTCATTTTAAGTTGATGAGCCACTTTAATTCCATCTGCCACCTTAATCCTTCTTTGCCACAGAAAGTGACAGGTTCTAGGAATTAAGATGTGGGCATCTTTG